ATAGAGCGCCTCGAATTAAGAGCCAACGGGCCAGAACCGACAGTGGGTAGCGCTATGCCCGCATACCAGCCAGCAACACAGGAGCCCGCAGCCGTCTAAACTGATTAACGGAGGGAATCATCGGGCTGCAAAATACAAAACTTACTATCCCGATGATTGCAAGGATGGGGATGAATGTTTTTCGACCGTCGCTAATGACCCAGATACGCCACGAATAGAATAGTTGGACCAAAAATGCCACTGCAGATGGTCTGTCAGCGGTAGGCAAATAGCGAAAGTGTGACAGGATATTTACCGAGGGCCGTAAGAGGAGCAACTGTAGCGAGTGTCCAAGGTGTGAAACCCAGGGCAACCGGATTTCCCCAGCCCTCAGCTAGAACATACCTGGATTATTGTTCAGCGTGGTCAAAACGAAAGAAAATATGCTTTTCATACCAAGCATAGTGTGTAGCAAACCCTGTTTGAAGAAGATCGAGGAAGAAGACCAAATAAACTGGCGAAATAGTAAGTACGAGCGAGTTCAGTTCGAGAGTAAGAAATATACCGAGTGCCTTGACCACCTTTTTTTCTCGAGGAAAGGCGAGCGTATAAACGTAAACTTGAATCGCAAGAGCTCCAAGTAAAGCTGAATCCCACTTGAGAAATCGTCATGAGATGAACGCGAAGTCTAACCGTAGTTGAACAAGTGGCCCAAGAGCTTGAAAAAGTGAATCGGGTATTGGAGCGCGAGAGCGAACTCGACCCACCATTGGACCAGTACTACGAGTAAAGATCAGTGACTGGGTATGAGCGATACTGGTAGGCTTACAAGGTTGCGATATCGAAATTGGCTAGGGATGCCATTTGAGAAGAGGTAAGTGCATGATCCGTTCGAGTCCGGCCTTTATATCATATCCACAGGAGAGTTTAATTTTTGTTCTGACAGGCGTCACAACCAACACGGAACCAGACTTCAGAAAATGGATAGATGGTTATCTCGTGCCGCCTGCTCCGGCAACGCGTCTCACCACGCTAGTTAGAAGATCACACCAGTGTCAGTACAAGATGTCTCTGTTACTAAAATTGGTCAGTCTTCGAAGGAAAATTCGTCCCACATTCGCCGGGACATCTACAATTTCAGTGGCAATTGGGTAAATTGACTATATCTATTCCACTGCACCGTTAAGAAGGTTGAAATTATTGGTGCAAACCAGTGAAGGCATTGAGGGTACAACTGAGGATGCCGGAAAAGTAGCTGAACTTTCCGAATATCTGCCGATTCTATTTTGAGCCGGGCTATGTACTGTTATCAAAGATTGGGGCCAGTTGAACGACAGTCGTGTCAGCAATCCTAAATAGGATTCATTGACGCCGTCCGGACTAGTACTGGCAAGAACACGAGTATAGAAAACGCGATATACCCTGAATGAGTATCCCACGTATCCCACGTTCTGTTTATTATCGAAGTGCGGGAGCAAGTGTAGGAGTCTCTTAGAGCAATCAGACTGGGTGAATTAAATATAAGGCGGGGCCCGGGGGCCGGGGTAGAACGACTCGCTGATTTCGCCATCTCCTGATGATTTCAGTTCATCTAGAACTTCCGCTGATTCGATGAGCGGCCATGCGCGCTGACTCGGATTCGATCCACTGTCTTCCGTTGGTTTGTGTCGGAAACCTCCGATTCTTTGATTGTTTGTTGGAAAGTGTCACTGTTGACGTGATTTGGACACAAATTGTCTTGTATGGTTGCAATGTAGAATATTATCACCGCGACACCTATGTACTTTCTGATTATTCCCCATTATTCATTGCTGGAGCAGAACGAACCTCGTCACTCGAAATTCAACCATTGAACCTGTGAGCGCACGTGACGGGATCCGCTTGATCCGACAATTGACAATCATCGTGTCAAATTGGAGTTGACCACATTTTTTTACAAGTTCCTGCCACGGGACTGGGCGCTGAGCTCTGGGCGCTGAGCCGCTGAGCTGACCCGTTCTTCGGCTGGTAATGTCTTCTGCTCGTCCCTTTCCTTGGAGCAATGTTTGACACGCCGGCGGCCGTCTCTTCCAGCGCTTATTTTAGCAAAAGGTTCCGGTTCCAGCCCACCTCAATGACGCCCTAATGAATCGAAGGACCCCTTGATATTTCTTCGGACCCGATCAAACGGCAATCCACAATCATACCCCCACCCAGGTTCTTCGGAGGGTCTTTACTCACCTAGACTTCCTCTAAATTGGTCTCCGCAGCAGTCCAGCTGTTTCTCCGAGTCGAGGTCGCCGTGTAGAAGGTATTGTGTGGAAAGAAGAAGCACACCTGACAATCATCTAGGCAACTCATCAGGAAGGCGAATGTCTTTCTGGGAGTTTCATATGTCGTCAACTATAGGAACGGAAAGGACGATCGTCGATATCTGGTCTCATATCAGCCCAGTAATCTGTCGGTTAGGCTGCTTCCATCTCCGGGAGCGGTTCTAAATTCGTTGGATTCATTCCATGCTGATGTATCTTTCTCGGGACATCTTGGCCTCCAAGGCTGCCGTTTGTTTCAGGCTAAGTTTACGCATTTCTAGAGTGGAGTTTGGCTAAAATCAGAGGTGGAGTATGGCAAGAAGCTCGTTGGGATTTAGTTGGGATTACTCAACTTCAAGCCTCAAGACGCGAACAAAGTTACCGCTTCTGCGGAACTCTCCGATAGAACCACCGAGACCGTCTATTGTCCGATCCTCGTTGCTGCAGACGGAGCCAAGGGTGTCCATGGACTACGAATCTCTTAACAGCCGATTCCTAAATATCCCGTTTATCGGAGAAACTAAGGCGGCCGGCCGGATGAACCACCATCTGAACCTCCCCAGGTTCCATCGAGAAATACGCAGAATACTCTGCAGTTGCTGGAATTAATCAACCACCCCCGTCTCAGTGCTGGCATCGCTGGGGGGGGCTTTTCCACATCCGCGTTACTTGCGAGAACATACAAATCTCATATAAGATTAATGCGCTAATTAAATGTGTTTTTCCAGAGGCTCGTACAAGGCTCATACGACCCATGCATCCTCCACCGTTCTTCCAGCTCCAGGCCTTGGGACGGACCATGCAGACAGAACTTCCACGAGATCGCAGGCCGCCAGACATTATTCAACTCGATCTCAGGACGCCGCGACATCGTATTGCGGGCAAGCTGGATTAGTGGTGAATGGCGGTGCACAAAAGCACACCAACGGAGCCAGAGCGAGCATCCCATCCGGATGACGGAGACCCTTTCGTTGAGACGGGGTAAGTATAGTGATACTGGCTCATTACCTGTTAAATCCCCCTCTCCAGATGCGGCGCACTGCTACTCGCCCGCCGGCTGTCAAGGCCCAAGCATGGCGATGCAGGACGCAGTGAAAAGCTCAAGTTTTATGTGATCTTTTCAAGAATTAATCCATCCCATCGCAACAGTTCACTCTTGCCTAGAAGCTTGCCCTTGTGAATTGACAACGCACCGTGCCCGCCTGCTTCACGACGTGCGATGCCGAGCGCCGAACGCCTCCCCGTCATTGCCGAGGTGCTTGGCCTCCGGAGAGCACGTACCCGTCTGTTAGGCAATTTCGGCGCGAATTCTTTCAGTTGTGCGCATAGTTTTGGACAGGTCTCGGATTCGTGGGGGGGACGGATACTTGCGTTTCATTCTGCCAGGTGGATGGCGAAATACTGTTAAATGCGTCAATTGATACCCAAGTCCTGACAACAGTAAAGACGGTGAGTAACCGTATCTAATGTGTAACATCTCACTGACTTGCGCGGAAGGGTTTACAGATTCCCTACGAGTTGAATTGGAGATGGGCCCCGCATGGAATATCAAGGTCTTTGACTTGTTCCAGTAGCATCGCATACCAGTCATACTTCCTACGCCTGCTGTGGAAAAGGATTGCCGTCGCAAATGGCCCGTCATTGTTTAAAGATGAAAGACGGATCCGGCATCTGTGGCATCCATTCCTGGGCGCCCCAGGCATTTTTGTGTTTCCTGCGCCTGGGGGATCCTGTTGCAGGGGCGAGGAGTTTGTAGGATCAAGAGGAAACCGACGAGTTTGAGAGTGGAAAGAGAAATCTAGAGCTGGTTGTTTGACGAGCCCTGAAATATCGACGTTTTCGAGGAAGTTTCACTCGATCCGGAACGAGGAATAAGAGAGTACTTGTGCCAGTGCCAACCGTGCCACACTGCAGTCTGCCAGCAACAGAAATTCGACCCAAGACAGGTTGTCGGTCGCAGTTTTGGTGGACGGGATTGTATGAATCTCCAGCATTTATGGTGGTATTTACAGCGAGCAGAAAGCTGTTGAAGAATTTCGAGATGGAAGAGAAAGGGCTCGATCACGTGTCCCGTGACCTCTCTTCTTTCCGCTTTGCCACCAACTGCCTCCGCTCTCGTCGTCGACCCAGCCCTCCCGATTTTCGTGTTTCTACGTGTATTTGTTTGGTCTTTACCTGCTCCTCGCCTGTTTTGACTATGATCTCGCGACTCAATTCGTTTCTGGCTCCATCACGACTCCGAGGTGGATGCCTTCCGCGTTCCCATTCTTGTCTGTTCCCCTGTCGATTTATTCTCGAAGATATGGTACTATTCTCTCGCTAATTTCTGCTGTAACTTATCTCGTCTCCCCCGACTTTCGGAACGAGCCCTGACGACAATTTGACCCATCGCAAGTGATGTGATCGCATGGCTTCCTACCCTCCCTGACGTCCTCTACATCCCCTTGTCTTGTTTCAAACCTCTAGGGGCGATCATATCTTATCAAACTAGCCCCTCAAAGTTTCTATTGATCAAAAAATCACGTCTACATCGCGTCTAATCGGTTTTTCTTAAATTTTCACCCCATCGGCCTTGGCGCCTTTTCTCCCTTCTTCTCTCATCATCCGAGCAATGTGGGATATAGCGCTGGTGAGGTACATCCCCTCAAGGACTCTGTTCATCAAAAATCTCGTCGACATCGCGTCTAATGGATTTTTCGTGAATTTTCACCAAACAACAAAAAGGCAGACTGCGTCGAGAGGGAATTGAACCCCCGGCGGGTCGAGTTTGACACGAATTGGCAACGACCCAGGTTACCACTACCCCATCGACGCCATGAGAAGAGGCTCGCAGATTTCCAGGAAGATGGGAGAAGGGCAAGAAAAAGACAAGAAAGAAAAAAAAAGAAAAAATGCACTAAGGCCGATAGGGGTCGGGGACTTATAATTTTTTTCCAAGTCTTGACCTCCCTGGTTCGATTCCCACTTGTTGTTTCATTTTAGGAATCTTCCTGCCTCTCGAAATAATTTTTTCAAGCCGCCGAGGCCTCCAGAATTTATTGGAGTCTTTCTTCGAGTTTTTACTTCAAGAGTTACTTATTTCGCAGTGGGGGTAGACCTCGATTGCATTGTAGGCTCCCCGTCTTATACTGGAGGCTTCGTACGACTCAAGAATGTCTACTTTTGTTTGATGCGATTATCGTCTTATTATAAGCAATAATCTGCCCGAAATTCGTCCACCAAAACACGCAAAATACCCTCACACCGCACGCGCGTGTTCAGAAACGGTGACGCATTTTTTATGCGAGTCCTGGTCAATATAGGGCCGACATAGTGCACCGTAGCATGATCGGCAGCGATCGGTGTCGTTCATTTTTTTGATCCCTCCTGCACCGCCACAGGCTTACCTCCTGCCACGTTCTCGGTCAACACGCAGACGATAAAACAGCTTGGGCATAACATAATGGGTTCATACATAATTCCAGTGAGTACATATTGCTAACTTCATTCATCTCAGTTGTCTCGAAATTCTCCAGTATCTGGGTCGATCACCCGCGTCTTTGTTAGAGAAACCCCCAGGGTGAACCCAGAGGCGAGGCCCTCCCCTCTATGATCACTCTCGGGACTCGGAGAGTCATCGCGGACCACTACCAATGTCCCATTGCGCGTGAGCTGCGCTATTCCGGCACGGGTTGCCAGCTCTGAATCGCGTGCCCATCGGGCGACGCGCTGTTCATATTCGGTCGGTTTGTTGGGAAACCTCGCGTTCTTCTTCGGTGTTTCAAAGACCTCCGGCGGGTAGCGATCGGATTGGGAGTGGACGGGGGTTCTCAAAGAACGACCCCCGGGGTTGCCGAACTGTGGGACGCCGAACGCCGCAAAATTCGCGCCTGGGGTGGCGGCGTCGTTGCTAAAGTTGTCCTCCGCCTCTGTCTCGGATATGCTGGACAATTTCGGCCCATTGCGCTGTGTCACGACGGTTCCGGCTTCGGACACGAATGATGAGGTGGGAGTCAGTGTCGACAAAGACGACCACGTCCCAGACGAGGATGCCCTCTGGAGGTTGTTTGTGGCGTTGGGAGGGGGTGCTGGTGGGGCGGCAGGCTGGACGACTGCCTGGGCTGCCGCCGCCAACAGGGCCGCTTGCGCTTGTGCTCGGGTTTGCATGCTGGTGGAAGGAGCTCAAGGTCGGAATCTGTCGCTTATTCTTGCCTTATGTGCTTATATATACTTCAAGTGCTTTGACCGTGAAAGAGGATGGCAACCTTGTAATGCCCGTGGTAGCCGCCTCTTTGACCTTTATACAAAGAGTCATTTTGGGGGGCTGTGCTAGCACCTTCCGCATTGGGACGTGTGGCGGGCAGAGGGGTATCGGTACCGACGGCGTCGTGCACGCTTCGGACTGTTCGGAGAGCATGCGATGCTCGTCACCGTCAGTGCGCGCTGTCACAATTCCGGAGACCGCGTCAATCGAGGCGGTATTTGCCCGCGTTTCAAACACGCGCGCCCTCCGGCGCTCTAGTCGACGTGACGCTTGAAGACGGGGATACGGAAGCTTTGGATTCGCTCCCCGGTAGGAAGGGCTTGGAGGCTACCCACGAGGCCCGGGAGATTGTCCCGCATGACATGCGTGCGCGATCAGTGGCATTGGTGAGTGCTAGGACACCTGCCTATTCGGGTAATAAAAGTTGACGATTGGTTCAGAATATACTTGAAATATGCTGAAGATATCTTGAACAATGGGCGGCCAATGAATACGCTCCCCCGGAAACATATAAGAAGAGGCGACGGCTGCCACCAAAGTCCCTACATCGCAATCGATCCAAGCCGCCACTCGCCATCGCCAACCACCGCCAACCACCTCAAGTATTTCCCCTCCCGCCATCCTCATAATCCCACATGTGGCCCACTGCGTTTTTGCCGTACAAGCTCGTGCGGCGCCTTCTCCCTGCCTCCCCCCACCCCCGGAAACACCAACGCCAGGCTTCTAAACCATACAAGCCTGCCCCCCTCCGCTCCAACCTCCACCACTTCCACCAGTACAAGAAGCGGGAGCAGGCCTTTCGCGCCTCGTCCTCCCGATCCTCTTCCCGATCGGCCTCGTACAGCTCCTCCTCCTCCTCGTCGAGCGACGGCGACGCCACTGTCCACCCCACCCCGCCTCCGGTTTCCTCCTTCGAACCCGAGGCTGTGGACGCCTCCCTCGAGGATGAAGGCACCTTCCTGCACACCGAGTTCGCCAGGTTGCACTTCCACAACCACTGGCGCGAGTCCGTGGACGACGGGCCGCATCGGCCGCTCCGCGAGGACCTATTCGCTCATCCGAGCGTGCAGGCTCGCTTGGAGCGCCAGCGTTTGCGCGACATCGAGTGTCTCCGGCTTCTCCCCACGCAAGCCCCCCCGCTCTTCTACACCCCGCTCACCCCCCGCGTCACCTTCCCCCGCGCGGCCCCTCCTCAGCCCAGCACCATCGTGCAGAAGTGGAACGAGCGCCAGGCGAGGGTCGCTGCGTGGCGTGCCGACCAGCAGGTTTACGCACAGATGCGGCGTGCGGACCCGGCTGCTGCCCGCTGGGCCAGATACGAGGCCGCGTGGGCTAAAGTCAGGGTCTTCGACCACGATGCTGTGCCGGTCCGTTTCTGCGACATTCCCTGGCCCGTCAAACACATTTGCTACCATGCCTCCCACATCGCCCCCATCGATGTCCACCAGTTCGTGATCTACCCTGAACTGGAGCCCGTGTCGCAGGAGGCGCTCCGCAGGCTCAGCTCGGAGATCAAGCGGTGGCACCCGGACCACTTCCGCCGCATCCTGCCGCTCGTCTGCGCACCAGAACAGGCAGCTGTCGCCGAGGCGGCGGGGTGGGTCCTCGAGATCCTCATCCAGGCGCGCCAGGACATCAAATCCAATCGGCAGCTCGCGACCCTCGCCCGCCCATTCACCCCTTCATGATTTTATGGCGCCTCCTATGCCTTATGCCCTTATGCCTAGATCCGTTTTCTCTCTCTCTCTTATCGTAGTCGCTGTTTGACTTGACTTATTGTCTTCGTTCCGCTGCTCCTTTATTTTGTATTTACTGTGTCGTCTTTTGTGTCTACTTTGTATTCCTCCTCTCGGCAATATTCGATGTACTTGGGCTCCGCTGTATTCACTCAATCTCAATCTCAATCGTACTCTTACTTTGATTCAACAGCCGCGGGGACGCTTTCATCCACCATTCCGATCAAATTCAAGCCTTGTTTGACACCTCCATCATGCCACGGACTCGCAGCGAACAACTATGACAACCACGCGCCTTCCGACCTCTCCTGGGAGGTTCAAGCTACCCTCGAGGGAAAAGAGAAGCTGCGGCGACAGACGATGATAGAGAGTCTTTATTCGACACTTCATTGGATGATTACTTTGCCTTGGGGGCGACGTCTTCCAACAGCTTCCCTGCTCTCGTCCTGCCACTTTCAACTGAAGACATCTGTGTACCCTCTAGTCGAGGATTGATTTGTCTGTGGCGACGTCTTTCCACATATTCGCTGGCCTCGTCCAGCTTTCTGCCAATACGTCGACTCCATCACCTTGGACTCTAGCCTCGAAGCACTCACAACTTACAAGGATCTTACTGGAGCCTGTGCGCTCGACGCTATCTCCCAGCGACTCTAACGGAACGAGTTTACCCTCGTTCGCTACGACTTCGGGTCAAAACGAATCATCTTTGTAGTCGCAATGCTCTAAAACTGGGCATGCCGTTGCGGTGAATGAGCTCCAGTCCAAGCTTCGGTCGAGGATATACTCAACTCACAACTCTATCAATAATATTGGCGAAATACCGTCCCCCGCATCGAGTCACGCCTGCCGAATATACGACCTTTTTTCTCAGTCGCCGATGCGACACCTGTATATCGTCATTCGAAGCATCGCCTCCTTTGGTGCACAGCCCCAAATCAAAGTCTCTCGCTGCTCGCCTTTCATCTCATTGCATCCATAGACCACACCGGCGACCGATACGACGACCGCTCTTGTGGTTGTCGTGTCGTCTCCTACCGCAAAGTCGACTTCGTCCGGGCAAGACCCCGCCCCACGGATTTGCGTGATTGTGGCACGACGGCGCCATACAACTGCGAGCTCGCTTTCTCGGACAAGACCTCTGTGACCGGGGTGCGTGCAAGCAGCGCGCCGCGCTGGTCCATCAAGGTGTCCGGCTCCTACGCCCACCCGGTGAGCGACGCCGGGATGTGTGTGCGGCCACCTCCGACATGTCACATCGCTCGGGCCGTACCACCAACAAGAATCACGCAAGAATAGATACAGGTTGGACACAGGCGATGTGGTTGTCGGACTGCGCGAATTGGCGAACCCACGCCTCCCGCTTGCGAGAGAGATGGCGGGTGCTGCTCGGGAAAGGAAGGTTGGCTGCCTTTCTGATGTCCCGGGTTTTACGAAAACGTATCCACTGAAAAATTTGAATAGTACCAGACAATTTGTTATACGCTGAACTTGCCAAAAATCTTAATCTTGCCGAAAAAAAAAACATTGAAAAGAAAATTATCTTATCTTATCAGATCTTGTCAAATCACAGCCACGCGCTCTGTCTTATCGGGCGCGACTAATCTTACCGGATCTCGACGTAACTTCCGAGTCTATTACTTCAAGCTCTGCAGTTTCTCTCAGGAACCGTTGCTTGTGATTGGCCGCGGTACTTACTGCGGACGGCTCCAGCTTACAGGTCGATCCCGGGAGCTCATCGATCAAGGAGCTGATCAAGAATGGTTGAAGAATGGCGACATCATCTGGTTATCATGCGGCTGCATCCACGTTCGTATAAACTGGGCCGACGAGTCAGC